GATAGATAGATAGATAGATAGATAGATAGATAGATAGATAGATAGATAGATAGATAGATAGATAGATCTCTTCTTTGGCAGTTTGTGTCTTTGATGTGATTTTGTGTCTTTTGCTGGTGTTTTATGTCTCTTGTGGTCATTTTGTGCATCTTTGCAGTCACGTTGGCTCTATTTCTGGTCAGTTCGTGTCTTTTCAGTCATCCTTTGCAGTTGTTTTATGTCTTTTTCTGTCGTTGACGTTACAGTTTTTTGACATATTTTTCTGGCGCTCTTGCTGTCAGGTTTTTACTGATAATTGTTTTGTTTTACTGCGACATTACCTAAAAGATGACGATATTTTGTGTCAGAAAACCAGACTTCAAGACATTTCTGTCGCATAATTCCAAAAGCCTGAGAACCATCGGGGAGATATCGATGACGCCGAGGTGTTTCTTGCTGTTTCTGCCACCCACAGACTTCAGTCTTGGTGTAACAGGTGTCACAGCGAGAACACTGGAAGGTGTTAAAGCGAGCAGCAGTCGGTCAGCGCGAGGCGCCGACAGCCGCTTACATGGTCTGAATATGAATATGGATGCAGAGTCGGGATGTGAAGCCGCTGACGGACGGCTGCCGTGTTGAAGCAGCGAGCGTGTGCACATCCACATGTATGATGTGGGCCCAGATAATTAATCCTCCTCCATCTCTGCTGCCTCTGATTGGAAGCAGATGAGAGTTAACGGAGACAAACGTCCCGCCGAGGCCCGATTTAATTACTGTGACGACGCTGTCAACCTCAGTGAGGAAGAGGAGGGGGATGAAGGCCGCGGCTAATAACTGTCACCGCCAGTTAATCTGACAGTTATTTTCTATATTAATCAAAAGATTACTGAGAAAAACAACCAGCTCAGTCAGAGTGCAGCAAACATGTCACCACGTCGTCTCAGGTTTTGTTCACAGGAGCTTTTTTGTGACCCAGAACTAATTTCTTGTGGGAATGTTTGTATTTTCACACTCAGGAAGCCATTTAAGGATTCGATCTCTCCAGAAACAAAACTCCCACACCTTTACATTTAGTAAAGACACAGACTGAACATCTCCCAGTAGAGTCACATGATTTCAGCAGTCCACATTTTTAGTTATTGGTTCTCGAAAATGGAAACAAAGTACAACATGGGTGCTATTGAGGCCTCAGAAAGTTTCTGTAAGTGCATATATATATGGATGGATCCATATTTCTCCTCCAACACAATCTTTGGTCGACATTTCACCAACTTCATCAGTAGAGTCCGATGTGTGGCAAGACAAGGTTCCAGTTTTTTACTATTTTGCCATGAAACCTTGTTGAGATGACTGAAAATTGCCCAAAAATAACAATAATTAATATTTATTGGCCCTAAAAAACAGCAAAACATGCAAAAGGCGGAATTAGAGCCCCAGAATGTTCCTGTTATTGTGTAAATATATGGATGGATTCATGTTTCTACTAAAATACAGTCTTTGGTCGACATTTCACCAACTGTTGAGGCCTCTCACATGGAAAGTATGGCAAAACAAAGTTCTAGTTTTTGGCTATTTTGGCATAAAATCTGTCAAACGTGCTTTGAAATTGACCGAAGTTACTACAAGTTTCTAAAAAAAAAGACTAAGATCTGTGGAGAAAAATATATAATTTGGCCAAAATGACTTTAAACTTATTTAAAATGACTCAAAATTGTCAAAAATGGCAATAATAAATATCTACTGGTCCTTAAAAATGGGGGAAAATAATCCTGTAAGTATGTATATATATGGATGGATCCATGTTTCTACTATAAACACCGTCTTTGGTCGACATTTCACCAAGTGTTGAGGCTCTAACATCAGTAGAATTAATTGGGTAACAACTAATCGATTGTCGTTTGGTCGTTTGTCAGAAAATTGTGAAAACAAGTGTTTCCCAAAAGCCAAGATGACAAATGTCTTGTTTTGATGTTCAGTTTACTGTCGTAGAGGCTAAAAAAAACAAGAAAATACTCACATTTAAGAAGCTGGAATCAGAGAAATGAGTTCATTCAGAACAATTATTTACATGATTATTAATGGTTGACAATTAATTCAATTCTGGATGATTTACAGATTGGTTGTTTGTTCTATAAAATGTCAGAAAACGCAGAAAAATGACAAAGTTTCCTAAAGATGATACGTGTCGCGTTTTATCCAAGGACATTCAGTTTTCTGCAATCATAGAATTTAGATGTTTTTCTTTAAAAATGTAAATTTAATTCAACAGTTGACGACTAATCAGTTGTTTGGTCTCTAAAATGTCAGGAAATTGTGACAATGAGTGTTTCCCAAAAGCCAAGATGACAAATGTCTTGTTTTGATGTTCAGTTTTCTGTCATAAAGGAGAAAATACTCCCATTTAAGAAGCTGAAATTACAGAATTTAAACTTCTCTTCCCTTAAAAAAAATCCCCCAAACAGATGAATCGATTGTTAGAATCTCTGGCGATAAACTCAATCAGCAGAAGCTCATTGGTTATTTGGTGCAGCTCTAATGAGAGTCGGGCTTTTTGAGCAGTTTATGTGATAAACTTCACAGAAAAATGAAGCAGTTTAATCTTTTTCTAACACATTCACGTCAACATCAGTACTTTTATAGCTCCAGTCGTGTATAATCAGGGACAGTGTGAGTGTGTGTGTGGACAAGAAAACTCACCCTGTAGATCAGCATCATTCTAAATGAATTAAAATCCAGTTTATTTATTTCTACAGAAACACTAAACGTCAACAACCATCGGCTCCCTGTTAGTGTTTGTTTACAGAGTAAACACAGCAGAACAAATCTTTCCTCCAGTCTCGTTACAAAAAATAAATAAAATCTCTTATTCTGGCGGCAGTTTTGTTATAATCGATGTCACCCAGTTGTCAGCTTTCATTTCTAGTTCATCTGTGAGATTTTAGTACAAGTAGCTCTGGTGTCTAGTCAGCTATGTGCAGGAAGGCAGTTCGGCCAATCAGCTGTTAGCAGGACAGCAGCTCGTCCAATCAGACGGTTTCTGACACTTTCTGGTTCTGAACCCAAGAGTGAAGCTCTCAGACATGTTATATCAACACATGTTGTAGAATGTTGATAGAGATGGACCGTAAGTCACATTTTCAGGTTCTTTATGTGAGTATTTCTATTTTGTGCTTCTTTATACTTTTTATTTTCTGAATTACAAATAAAACAATCAGTGAAAATAACAAAACTGCACGAAATAATGAAAATCTGGCAACAAGGGAGCCAAAAGAAATATGTTAGAAAACTGTAAAAATAATAAGAAAATAACAGCTAATGTCTGTAAAACAATCATATTTTCTTAATCTAATTTAAATACAGTAAAACTGTGTCATTTTACCGTCACACGTTGTACAATTTTTTTTTTTATTTATCGTGTGTAAAACTACAGACTTAGTTGTGGACATTATTTACAGTTTAGATGTTTTTTTACAGTCAGCATATGAATTTAAAAAAATAAATTCTGTGATTTCACTCGTCTGCACTTTAACAAAACAAAGTCAATCTGTCGACATAATGGGTCAAAGAATATTTCATTTCATTTTCATGTTTAAAGCTGCAACATTTTCTTTGAACTACCAGCAGTTATCTGTAATATAATGACAATACGTGTTGATTTAAATACAACAACACTGAAAGAAAGACTGTTTTATGTACAGTTCTTGCCTGTTTTTTTTTAACAGCCAACATAAACGTTAGTACTTGTCATATTCTGCAGTTTAACAAAACAGGAAAGTCTGAGAAATAATGTAAAAAAAGAATTTGCCATTTTTGATTCTTAATGCTGGTAATTCATCAACGTCAGTGTCAAAGATGTAATAATAATCTGAGATATGAACTTTTCAATGCAGCTGTTTTTATTTAACTCATTAATATGAAAATCTACGAGCAGATTGAGCTTCTTCATCAATCACAGTGAACTTTATTGATCAATTAGTTATCAGCTAATACATTAATCAGCATTTTTTAAAGAAAGAAAACATCTAAATCCTCTGATTTTGCTTCTTAAATGTGAATATTTTCAGGTTTCTTTACTCCTTTTTTCGGTAAACTGAACATCTTTGGGTTGTGGATGAAACGAGACGCGTCATCTTAGAAACACAGATTCACGCTATTGTCAATCCTGCTGTTGAGAAAACGTTAAACTTGCTGCTTTCATGTCACCAAACGCCATCGGAGCTCAATCTGTGGCTCTAGTTGACGTTAAGGAGATTTATGGGAGTTTGAAGTCGGCTGTCAGGAAACAATTTCACTGTTTTACTGTCGTTTCTGTCGGCAGGAAGCAGCTGGTTTCAAAACAAAACTCTTTAAAAAAACCTGTTAGCAGATATTTATAAAAGTCTTGGTTCCGTATTGACCTGTTTGGACTTTTCCTGCAGGATGAAGCAGTTTTTTTTTCCCCTGGTCTAACCTGTGCATCTCCTCAGTGCTGGACTGGAGGATGACGGACCCAAACCACCCCATGAACGCCCTGATGCGACTCAACCAGATCCACCCGGGCCTCCAGTACCGCCTGCTGTCCCAGTCCGGCCCGGTCCACGCCCCGGTCTTCACCATGTCCGTGGAGATCCAGGGGACCGCCTACCAGGCCACCGGCAACTCCAAGAGGACCGCCAAGCTGCAAGTGGCCCTCAAGGTACCGCCCCGCTGTAGACGGTGGTAGTTTTCTGGGAGGTCGTTCTTCACTGTGGGGTCATTTATAACCGAAACATAAAGTCCTGCACCTCTGAGGAAACAGAACCACGACTAGACGTAGAGAAGAAATGGAGGCTCTACAATTCAATTTTCAATTCAATTCAATTTTATTTGTATAGCGCATATTTACAACAACA